ACATTATCATGCGGCATGCGCTGTTGTTGGTCAGTAAATTGCCGGACGCATCCCTGACACACATAACACGGGTCACAACATGTAACATGGATGAGTCACGGATTGTGGAAGAGCAAAGTGACTCTAATGCTGGAAGGCGATCACTACTCGATGTCCCCGGAGAGTCTTGTGCGGCTCCTGAACCTGATCGCACTCCTCAGTCCGGCCAATAAACTCATTTCATGGAACTTACTACCAGAGACTGCCTGAGTACACACAGCCACCATTTATACAGTCTCTAATGACATGAAATTCATGTGTGAAGTTGAACAAAAGGTTCACTTAAAGTTGCATTTGTTTTGTTTAGTGGCGGAGTTCCCGGAGAGAACAATGAGCTCTGATAAGATCCGAGAATTATAATATTCAGTCCTATGAAAGTTATCAGCAACCCAGAATCCCCCCTCCCCCGCTCACATTATACCGGAACTGATAACACAGAACATGTATTTGCATTTCACCTGAAGAGACAGGAAACCGCGAGAGGAAAATAAACCTGAAAATAAACCTGGTCCCTACTCTGAGTTCCCGGGTCTGTACGCCTGCTGTGCCCATTATGAGGGGCCACCACCATCCCTGTGCTGAGTTCCCGGGTCTGTACCCCCGCTGTGCCCATTATGAGGGGCCGCCACCATCCCTGTGCTGAGTTCCCGGGTCTGTACACCCGCTGTGCCCATTATGAGGGGCTCCCACCATCCCTGTGCTGAGTTCCCGGGTCTGTATGATGAAGGACGGTGTGAGGTGTTCAGGTCACCATCTGCCGCCTCGTCTCCTCTCATGTGATGAGCTCCATGTGGGTGACTCTGATAGTAATCAGGTTGGTTATAGGTAGGTGTACGGATGAGGCGACACTTCTTATACTGTGTGCAGAGCTTAGCTGTCCCCGGAAACGGCGGGCCGTACAGAGTGTCCTCCGCCAGGAAGCAGCGATTCCACGGACGGAGACAGCTATGTAAATAAATGTTTTGTCATTAGAGTAACATTGTATCTGATGCTGAATATTACAATGTGACAACAAATTCTAGGTTCACTTTTCCCACCACAACCCCAGGCGACCATGGAAATCCAACCATGCGAGGAACATGCCAACCAACTCTGCAGATATATTTACACCCCGTGCCACACTACTGGATGATGGCAATGACACAAAACAAACACATACTGTATATACACTATATTACCAGAAGTATTGGGACGCCGGTCTTTACACGCACATGACTCTAATGGCATCCCAGTCTTAGTCCGTAGGGTTCAGTATTAGGTTGGCTCCACCCCTTTGCCGCTATAACAGCTCCGCCTCTTCTGGGATGGCGTCCACAAGGTTTAGGGGTGTGTCTATGTGAATGTTGGACCATTTGTGAGGTCAGGTACTGATGTTGGGGGAGGGGCTCACATTCTCTGCTCTAATTCATCCCAAAGGTGTTCTATGGGGTTGAGGTCAAGACTCTGTGCGGCCAGTCAGGTTCCTCCCCCCCAAACTCCCCCCTCCATGTCTTTATGGACCTTGCTTTGTGCACTGGTGCGCAGTCATGTTGGAACAGGAAGGGGCCGTCCCCAAACTCCTCCCACAAAGTTGGGAGCATGAAATTGTCCAAAATGTCTTGATGTGCTGATGCCTTAAAGGAGAACTATGAGGTTAAGGCTTTTCCCCATAGTTCTCCTTAGGGTAACGGGGGGGGGGGGC